ATCTCTATTCCACCTACTATTTCACTTGGCACCAATTTTGTTTTTATCCTTGAAGAGGCTGCTTTGCTACAAAATACACGTACATGGCTACTTGCAGACAGCAAGCAAACAAGCACTTGCAGATTTTCCAAACACTTGAGATCAGTCCTTTGAGAAGTAATTTTTTGAGTTTGCAAAGCCAGGACATTTGCTTCACTATCTTAAAAATTGAGATAATGAAGGAGCCGACTGTCTGCCACTTATTCTCTCAAGCAAAATAAGCTCAGTTCCGGGACAATACTGTTTTACCTATTGCACAGGCAAAAATTGCCATGCTCTGTAGCAAATACATCATAAAACTGCTGAAGAAAACTTTCTGGCTTATATCATCAACCCTGAAGGCTTGCACGTAACAGGCTAGTTTTGGATATAACAACACTAAAGGTATTATGTTTGTCCATCATATCCAGCCTACAATTTATTTTTATTACTTCACATACTTGTTCTCTACAAAGAGGTATAACATTTCAGGAAAGTCTAGTTGGCTGCAACCTGTTACACTACAAGTGTCCTTACTTTAATCCAGCTCAAAGCAGCTTTTATGAAGTCCAAGTGCAATATCATTCTATTCAGTTTAGTTAAGCAAGTAAAGTTTAAATAAATAGGTATATACACATTCTTTTTCCTGTACACAACAGTTCCAATCTCAGTAGATAAAGTCAATCTACAATTTTTTTTTCTATTTTTGCTGTAAACTGCTACATGCCTTCATATAATTCATATTGTACTTTACATATTAAGCATACTTTACACTTCTGTCTTGTATCTGAGTTTTTTCCTAACAAAACTAACAACTATATCCAGTTTGGTTTATTTGGTATCAAATGATCTAACAATAGATATTATATTACCTAAATATTACAGATTTCTTACATTTCAACTGCTTTATATTCAACTACTTAGAGCTAGACAGGAATCGCTGCTGTATATGAAGTCACATTTGCCTTGAGATTATAACACTTCCTTTTATCAGACTAATGATTCTATGAGAGTCTCTTACTTTATCTGTCATCTTTATCTCCGAAGCATTACCCTTGACTAACCATTAACTACTCTGATGCAACCACAGAGCTGCCTGTGAACTGCCACACCTTCCTCAATGCACCAGGCTCCTACTCTTCCGATTTCTTAAGAGACTAGTGGCACCAACCCTTTCCTCCTTTGCATTAAGCTTCCACGACCTTCAGATATACCAGGATTCAGTTTAGTGTCAAGTATTGCTTATACACTGTTGTCTAAACAGTTAAATGTTTATAATAAACTAAAGATTGGTGTAAGTATTGGAGGCAAGATATGAAGCCTCTTTGATGATACTTGTTAAAATTCAAGTAGTAACAGCTTTTTAGGAGTTAATTCATGATGCTTCTTAATAGAGTCAATCATTACTAGCAACTACAGCAAGAACTGGTATGGTGCTATTAGCACATTACCCTAAGCAACTTGAGTGTGAACTTCATACAGAGCAGGCAGCTAACTGTATACTCATTCCTCAGTTTACCCTGGATAACAGCATGACCATAATAATTAAAAGAAAGCCACAAGCCTCTCCTCATCCCACAGGAAAGAAGCTTCTCCACAGAAAGAAGAATTGGGAAATCCTGCCCTGCTTTTTCTTGCTCCAGGGCAGAAAAAAAAAAATGAGCCTATGAGCTACCGTATCAACATTTAGTTACACTCAGCCAATACTCCCCCTTTAATAAGGATCAAATTGTTTAAAGTCTGAGTAAGTTATAATAGAAGCTACTATGGCAAGATTAACATCAGTGCATGCTCCACCTCTGAGGCACCCTTACTTTCTAGCATGCATAACAGTTACTTTGCTATAACTGCATTCTAGGGAGTTGCAGCACCTTACTGTTTTCAAAGCAGTACAAGTTGAACACTTCATGCAATTACTCTTCAACATGACCATATGTAAATTTTTAACTCGGGTCTTACCAGCAAAGTGAACTTATTAATATCTGGTCAACAAAAGTTATCAGCATAACAGAAAAGTTCAGAAAAAAAGTAATTTCAAGAAAAAGTTGGTTTTCCAACTCAGTTTTGTCTGATAAGTTTTTCAGCATGACTATCATCCTGTTAAGGCCTCAACACACACTATATAACAATGATCCCCATCTTCCACTGCAACAGTGAATTAAAGTAGGAAATACAAGCCAGGACTGCCACCAAGAAATAACATTTCTCCACTCTTCTGGTGCCTGGGATTTCCCCCAAGTGGATACTCAGAAAACAGAGCTGCTTGTCTTTTTAGATGAATTCTCCCATCTTTATAACTGACATTTTAAAAAGTAGGAAGTATATTATAATCTTTAAACACACTGATCTGCAAACACATTGTTTAGCATTGAGGCATTCTTCTTTAGAAACAGGAACACCCACAGACTCCCAGTTAGCTTCACACACTCTCCTTCCTCCCCTTGCTGATGATAAATAGCATCTGGATAAGATCCTTAAAAGTCTGGTCTTTGAACAACCAACAAGAAAGCAGTGTTTCGGTAGGTTACTGTCTAGTGACTACTGGATAAGCGGCCAGAAGAAATATTTTTCTGATCAAGACATACACCTGAAGTACTACAAAGGGGGTTTTTCACCATAGGAAGTCTACTTTGCAGAAGAAATGCAACATGGCAGTGCACCTAAATCTACAATAGTGTCTGTAGCTTTGATACCATTCCAAAAACCACAGGAAAGATGCAACAGGCATAATGAACCAAAATTTTGCCTAAGGTACTTTTGCCAGGAAAAATGAAAGGAATAGTTCAAGAGGCAGAAAAGCTGAATCATCATACAGAAAACTGCAAGAAAAAAGGATCTGTGTTTGGATTGTCCTAATGCTGCTGATAAAAGCCACACAGTATCTCACAGTACCCATCTGTAAGTCAGTTACTTTTACCAGATTTCTTTCAACCAATCTTCCAGATGAGCTAGAAGTCACTAGAGCTTCATCACTTGCCACCTCCAAATCTGCATAGGCAGCAATTGTCTTTTTTGCCCCCCATCACTCACTTCAAAACCTAGGTACTATCCTCAAACACAAACTCTACCTACATCCTCACATCCAAACTACGTTTAAGTACCAGAACTTTCACATGCAACATCTCAAACATATTTCAACCACATCTCAGATGCTCAGAGGGAAACTTAAGACAGAGATATAGTCCCCTTCAAGGATTTTTTGTTTCCATATGTACAAAAAGTCTGGGCTGTAATGACATCAACACAGTTGTACCTATCGTGTGGACCAAGCTTTACAACAGCTTCCTTACACTCCCACAGCAAAGTACCCAGCAGTTGCACCATTTTGATCATAAGCTTCTTGAAGAAACAATTTTTATTCTTAATTCAGAACAAGTTATTTTGAGTAAAACCAGCAATCCATTACAATCCTATAGCAAATCCCAACATGGGAGAGCAATGTCAATAACTTGTAGAAGTACAGGTGTGAAGTTCACTGTGCCTTTGCTTCCAGAGAAAGAACCTATCCTTCAGGTCACACACATCTTCACAAAAACTTTTCTCCTGCCCTCCAAGGATAAAATAACTGGCTGTCAAAATTACACAATAACTCATATAAAAGAAATCCCTAACTAGTTAAACTGATATATTTTTCCAGAAATGCTGACTTCTTCCTAAATCCAAACCGAAGAAAAACTCTCTAAGGAAGACTACAATTTTGGAATGATCCATTTCTTCCAGTGAGCTGCACTGTTTGACACACCACCTGCAAGAGCTTCAAAACCCCCTCAGTGAGAACTAAGGACTTTCAAAGTTGTCAGCATTTGACTACATGCCCATGACATCCCAGTACTCCTAGAGCAGTCATGCTCAGCTTGTGGCCCTGGGCCACAAACAGAGCATTAGAATAATTCAGACTGTGCAGTTGAGAGCAAGCCATAGGCTGAATGGAATTTCCTCAAAGGAGTAATAACTCTCTCAGCACTACTTGCCTTATCTGCCTCTTTTCTGTCCTCATACACTAACGTAATAGTCCCTGTACACAGCTCAATGGAGAACAGTAAGTTTTCTGTAACCTAAACCTTACAATGCTCTTACAGGATAGCAAGCCAACACGTATACAGAAAATCCACATCCCAGAAAGGGAAAAAAATTGCGAAACAAAGTCCACCCCAGCAGAAAGGTAGGCCTCATGGTAAGTTACGTGAAACTGTATCATGTTGTTTTAACTGAAGCATTTAAAAGGATCTAATAGAAAATTAAACCCAGGAGACAGTGAAGCAGCGTTGAACTAGACAATTTGCCTTCCCTTGGTCTCATGTGACCTGAGATTCCTTATTACTAAATACAGCAGGAAACAGAAGAAGTAGTTAATATGCTTAAGACTATTCATTTCTAATAAACCTTAGAGTCTAATGTATGAGCACATCTTTGGCAGCATTCACAAAATATAAAGGTCTCACATGTCTGTGAACACACGAGAACTGAATGCCCATACACAAACCTCTCTTTTCACATGCCACATTCTTTGCTATAGCAGCCTCAAAGCATTTTACAAACACTAAATCTTTTCTTCAGTTATTAAGGACACTATAAACGACTTTCCATTTTAATGCAATCCCACTTACTACAGAAACAAGTAGGAGGCTGAAGACCCCCTTCCTTCAGTTTCATCTCATCCCACAGTGGTGAATCGCTCCAGCACATCAGCCGCCTTTGGGCTCAGTCTCAGCCCCATCCTCCCGCCCGCCGCTGCCTTCCCAACTCGTCCCAGCCCCGCTAACCCGCAGCTCCCCGCACAGCCCACGGGGGCCTCCGCCCGAGCCGCTAACCCACGCCCGTCCCCGGGCGGAACTAAGATCTCTCTCTGCTGCACAGGCTGCCGTAGTACCGACCCGCACCGGCAGCCGGTCACTCCGGGAGGCCGCCCAGCCCGGCACAGCCTCCCCTCCCGGGCACAGCACGGGGCCCACTGCCCTACGGGGACCCCCGCCCGCACCCACCGCTTCCTGGGGATGGAGCCGGAGGCCGGCCCGGTGGAGCCCCCCTGCGCCTTGCAGGGACTCAGGGAGAGCGCTTCCCGCTCCGGAGCCCGCGGCGAGCTCCGCAGGTGCCCTGAGATGATTCGCAGCCTCCGCCGGGCGGAGGACGGGGAGCCGCCGCCGGTTCCCGCTGCCTCCTCCGCTGCGGCCGCCATCGCACTTCCGTGTTGTGCCGCCGACCGCCGCCGGGTGAGAGGTCGGGCGAGCGGAAGGCAGCTCCCGGCGCTCCCCTCATATAGGCTGTCCCGGCATGCACCGCCGCCCTCGCGCTTCCCGCCTCGGCTTGACCCAGCCCGGCCCAGCCTTTGGGGGGTGGTGGTGAGCGCGGCCCCGTGAGCAGCCCCGCTGGGGCAGGCGTTCCTTAGGGGGCCGTGGGGGAAGTGGGATGTTGTTAGAGCTCTGGAGCCCGGCTTCCATGCGCAGCCCTTCAGAACGGTCACCTGCCTCGGCAGGGCAGTGGTGAAACGAGAGAAAAAGGGGCTTTATTAGGGATTGCACACGTCCTGTGCTGTGAGTGTAGCTCCGTTAGATCCCTTAGAGAACACAATGCTGGGTGTTCTGTAAAGATGAGGATTGCCAAAGTTAATGATGAAATGCTAATGAACAGTGATGGCATAGGCGGGTTACCTAAGAAACAGGTTGGTGAGGTGACAGGTGATCCTATAGGGTTTATCATTATTGTTGACAGGGACACAATGGCCTGGTGAGTGATGGCTGCTGAGCCAGGCGCCTCTGCCTGTGTAACCCAGCTGCACTTCCCACGATGTACATGCACTGCTAGGGGAGAGGCGCCCGGCTCCCGGTGATCCGCTCCCTGCAATAAACCTACACCACAGAATGAACGCTAACTGGCTGACTGGTGGGACTGTATCCCCTTCTGTAGCCAGCACAACCATCCCTGAACAGAGAACTGTCAATCCTGACCATGTTCAAGCCCCATTGGGACAGCTGGGATTCACTCTCTAGCATCTCTTTGAAAAGGGAGAAGAATTGGGATTTATGTTCTGGCGTCCTCAACATAAAAAGGACATGGAACTGTTGGAACAAGTACAGAGGAGGGCCACAAGGATGATCAGGGGACTGGAGCACCTCCCGTATAAAGATGGTCTGAGAAAGTTGGGGCTGTTCAGCCTGGAGAAGAGAAGGCTGTGTGGAGACCTCATAGCAGCCTTCCAGTGTCTGAAGGGGGCCTACAGGGATGCTGGGGAGGGACTCTTCATTAGAGACTGTAGTGATAGGACAAGGGGTGATGGGTTTAAACTTAAACAGGAGAAGTTTAGATTGGATATAAGGAAGAAATTCTTTACTGTGAGGGTAGTAAGGCACTGGAATGGGTTGCCCAAGGAAGTGGTAAATGCTCCATCCCTGGCAGTGTTCAAGGGCAGGCTGGACAGAGCTTTGGGTGACATGGTTTAGTGTGAGATGTCCCTGCCCATGGCAGGGGGGTTGGAACTAGATGATCTTAAGGTCCTTTCCAACTCTAAACTATTCTGTGATTCTATGTGATGCCAACCCCAGGTGCTGTCTGATGCTAGAAGTTTACTTTCATGCACCAAAGTGCCTTGGTCAGCTTTGAATTTCCACTCAGGAAAAGACGTGGAAACTGGAAAGATTTTAAAGGAGAAGATATGAGAAGAGGTTTTGGTTTGTTTTTTTGTTGTCAGAGAATGAAAAAAAGGCTGAACAAACTGAGTCCCTTAAAGGAGGCTAAGGAAGATAGGTTATCAGTCTACAAATCTGTAAAAGATGCCTATGAAAACAGCTGTGAGCAGTCAGCCCTGCATGGTCTGGCTGTGTTCGTGAGAAGTAATGAGCTCAAACTGCAAGATGTAACTTCAGTATTAGCATTAGACTACTAGCCGGAGAATGAAGTCACCTTCATTAGAACAGCAATAGTCTATCACCTGTCACCAACATTAGAATAGCAATAGTCTATCAGAGATGATATCGTTATCAGTAGTTCTGCTCAGAGCATTGTGATGGGATAGATGACCTACTCAGATTAATTCCAACTTTTTTCCTGTGACATGAAATACCTCAAACCGTTGAAGCCTACTCAGCTGTCACACGTGACCTAATTTCATGATCAGCATTTGCAGCTGGATGGCACCAGTCAGCTTTTTGGTAGTCTTGAAGCAGAATGCTAATATCTAAGCAATTACTAATATTTTTGTGAAGACATTTTGCCTGTCATTGACTTATTAGGCAATTCCTTCCTCATACACCCCTATGCTTGCTGTGTCATGCATATGAACTAAAATCACATGCAAATTCATAAAACTCTTACCTTACCATTTCGAATCTTTTCCAGTGACCTATTTCTCCCATGAGATTTTAACATGGTACCTTTCCATTAGCTAAGCAAATAGCAGAAAGTTCTCCAGGGAGCAGCATCAAGCCAAAAGTTCTCCAGGGAGCAGTATGTAGTGCATGAGCAGTGAGACTTTGGTTCAGCTCCCTACTTCCTGTGCAATATCGGTGCCTCTTTCAATCATAGCTCCACATATATAAACCAAAGATAACAGTATTTCCCTGGAGAGACCAGTTTGAAGATAATACACTAAGGACTGTGTGACAGTACAGGATCAACACCTATAAGACCTACTTATGAAGAGCAGCACATAAAAGCCACCCAGGTATTACTACTATTTGTTTTGCTTTTATTTTCACTGTTGTTAATTGATTTTATGTCCTTTGTGTACTTTGACTAGAAAACAGGCTGTAATTTTCCTGGGGCAGGAATCGCACTAGTTGCAGTGGGGTCTGAGCTTTAGGTTAGGTTTCTGGTATTACTGCAACATAAACAGCTGTCCCAGCAGTTTGATAGTTTGATTCTGGAGTTAAGTTCCCCCCCTGTGAAAAATTTGTGTACCACGTTTTGGATTAACTCATGCATATCCAAATTTAACTGCTACTGTGGAGACAGTCTGTAGGGAGCAAACAGTCTCTCGACTCAGTTTCCATTCATGTTGTTTACTGAAGTTCTGGGTATAGCTGAGGGGACTTGAAGTCAGTTATCTAAATCTTTGCTGAATCTAAATCACATTGCTGAATGCTAGCAAAGAGATACTAGATTCATGGTAGTAGGCTTCATATTTTCCTAGGATGTTTCTTTGTATCGCAGTCACTTGAACAATAATGAGCCCATTGCTCATTTATTTGATCCTAATCATAGAGGTTTCCAGTAAAAAAAAAATGAATTCAACTAGTATCTGATGAGCAGAATTCATCACCACCTCAGAACTTAATTTTTTTCAAGTGTGTATGTATGTGTTTGGAGACTTAATTGGAGGAAGGGGGGAAGGCATGGTGGTATGGTTTGGAAACCAGTGACAGCCCTTGTCTTATGCAGAGCAAAGGTATACCTAAGAAACACCTTGGTTTTGTGCAAGAGAGGTCTTTGCTTACAGTATGAATGCTGGGTTTATGCTTTGCACGCAATCCTCAGCTCCCTTGGGAGGATGCCATGAAAAGAAGCAGTAACATAATGTAGTGGTGGATCATGAGGTCGCTGTTGCTCATCTTTTTCCTGAAGTGAAGTACTGGCATATTTTCAAAAAATATGTCTACTTGATTCATATAAAGTCTATGTGATAAGTAGAAGGTAGAAGTGCTGAAATCCTTAGGAGGCACAACGATTTTCAGAGTAATACAGTTGTGGCACCAAAGAGAACTGATTTCAGTAAAAATACCAGCAGATCTACAGCATGGTAGTTTGAAGGATGCTAATGGCTGCTGAGCCAAAGCAGCAGTGTTTGCCGTTCCATGAGCTGTCCTTTCCACACACCTGAGTGCATCTGCAAGCATGAGATGCCAGCTCAATGTGACATTCGTCTTTTCATCAAAGATCTGCATTTCCAGAATTTTCATACTGGCATTTTCAAGAAACGTAGATTTAAAGAGCGTTTACAGTGCAGTACAAAGTAAAGTAGCAAAAATATTTTGAACTTTCAGAGAGGGCTTCATGAAAAGATGTCTCGGACGCTCGGACACTACTGTTACGTAGTAGTCCCATGGGAGAGCACAGAGGGAATGTGCTGCTTAGGATAAGCACTACACTTTTGGGCAACCCATACACCAGCTGTGAAAAGAAAAGATGCTTCTGATAAATTTTATTGCCTTGAATATGGTTCAACAGATTGTTTAAAATCACCTAATGTAGCATAGGAGACATAGGTATCAGATGTGGAAAATGAAGGCACATCCAGCCTTAAAAGCTTCAGCAACTTACAGGCTGCTGAAATAGCAACTGTACACGCATCTAGAAGACAAGGTAGAGTAATATATTCAACTGAAAGTGTAAAAAGGATTTTGAAACCTGAGAAAGTTCCTGATCCTAGCTGAAACTGGCAGGAATTGCCAGTGCTGTAGTACACACCTCTGCTGTTCCTTTACTGACTAAATAGCAGATAAAGGCGGTGGGATTTTTTACTTGTTTTTCACTTTTAAAGTAGCAGTAGGCTTTGAGTTATGAGCTAATACTTAATTCACCTCACTGCTTCTGAGGGCAAAGAAGAATATTATCACAATAGTATAGTAGCCAATGAGAAAATGAACTCAGAATCCTTTGCATTCTAGAAAGATGGAAAATTAGAAACTGATTTTTTGAAGATTCTTCATTTCATGGCACAACTTGCAAGGTTAAAACAGAAGGAAACACCTACTTGAATAAGGTGTGGTTTAGATGTTCTTGCTTTCTCCAGTTCAACTGCTATTCAGATGTGATTGACACTGAGATATTAGAACACCTTTTTGTTCTGTATCCCTGTACAAAAAGCCACCACCTACAGCAGAGGTGGGGATTTGGCTACTTTAGGTATAGGGTGGGTGTGGGACACCCACATCTGAGTCATGGGCTGAGAAGAATTTGATGAGGCAATAAGAGGTGGAAAAGGGCATAAACCCTTGAGATCACCTTTGGATTAGTTATTTTTTCACCAGATGAAAACAAGAAAAAGAAAGCTGACACCCATTCATGAATGTGTCATTCAACACTAAGTAATTCATCCTCTGGGAGTAGTTTTGTTGATACTTGATCAGGCCAAGAAGTTTTCCTAAAAGGAGCCAATTTGTCTAAGACCTAGTGGCTTTGTGCCACTTTTATAGAGTCAGCAGAGACCCTTGGGGAAAGGCATCATAGCCAGCCAGCCAGGCAGCTTGCAGGCCTCAGTGCCACAGAACAAGAAAGGCCCAGGTGTCAGAGCTTACAGCGAGGGAGAAACCTGCAGGACCTCAGGCAGTTGGCAAGGATCAGCATGGATTTCAAAAAAGTTATACGGAGATAGAAGGAATGGAAACTAGGAAAAAGGTGATAAAAGCTTGCAGAGCATGGGCCACGAATGAAACCTCCTATCTAGAGATCTCCAACTAGAAGCTGCCCTATTTTATATTGAAAAGGTTAGTGGGCAGCATGTTTTGTCTTTAAGCATACAAAAAATACATATGTTTTTGAACATGGTGGTCAACTCTCTTCAGGTAAAGACAAAAACTACCACGGATAATCAGCTGTTTCTGCTTTCAGTTAACCAGATGATCTGAACTGATTAGAAATGCTACAGCTTAGAAGTCTGTATCTGACCAAGATCACTGAGAATCAAGTGCCTTCCACTGGTGCCCTAATGCAGAGTTATCAGTAATATATTATCTATGTACTTGTAATAACTACAGATATGACTTTTCTGTCTGCCATACTTTGCATGAAAGAAAAATACTTGCTAAATTGTTAGCTGTGCGCACAGATGAGCCTGTGCATCAGCAATTCAAGGTTGGCCTTTGCAAACTGAGTAAGATGCATATCTGTTTCTTCTGCTTGCTTCTGGTAGTAAAACCACTTAAACTCTTATCACTAGCAGCAGTAATGGCAGGTGTGTTTATCAATGTACATGCTTCGCAGATTTCCAGTGAACTCATTTCACCTTCTTCATTTTACTGCAGTGACAGTCCTGCTGCCTCCAAGTAACTGAAGGGAAGAAAGGCAAGCTTCCTAGAAAAGTCTGTTCAGAGATCTATAGCCCTGCCCAGTTTCAGCTCTTCCACAACTTATGTCAAAAACCTGTCAAGAGAAAAAGCTTCCATATTTATTTATTGAGGCAATTCAGTAAACCCAAACATAGTTACCATGTGTGGCTTCCTGCAGCTTTGTCAGTGAAAGTGGAATTTCACATTTACAGTTAGCTTTCAAGGTGTGTATGCCAAAGGAGCTCAACTGTGGTTTGCACACCATTTTTTACTGCCCTGAGACTTTCTCTCCTTCCCCTTTTTTAAGAGAGCTGTCAATTAAAGTGAAGTGTAACTGCCCAACATGCCAAGGGAGCCTCTGTAGAAACTGCTTGCCTCTACACTTTCCCAGCTGTTGCAACTCCTGTAAACCTGCATTTTTTCTTGGTGACTTCGTCTCATAACTATTTTCATTCTCCTTTTTTACTTTCAGAACATCTATTTTTTATTCCAGCTTTATGCCCTCCTGTGGAAGAGTCTGGCAGGAAGTGTTGCAACTCTGAAAATCCCCTTTTGAGAAGGAGCATTGCCTTTCTTAGCCTAGTTTATGAATTTCTTCTGAATAGAGTTGGTAGTTTCCTGTTGAGACATTAATTCATATAATTATGATACTCTCCTCATTTTGAATAGTTGTGCATGTACGGAAAGGAAAGATGCCCTTTTATATTTTTCCAAAAGGTATTGCTTGGATAGTCAGCAGGCAATAGAAAAACATTCCATGGGGAAGTGAGGCAGGAGAAGCTGGATGTAGTAAACACTAATCAAGTTCAACACTTTTTCCTGATAATCCTATAGCCTGGCACTCTCCTGTCCCCTGTACTTTAATGTGTATGTAGTGTGAGATCAACTCGGGATACTTCTAGGATCTCTATGTACATCTGATCTTCCAGGTTGATACTGGAAGCTAGACTGTATTACAGCATTTTGTTAAATAATCCATTCTAAGTATGTAGTTTGGTGCACTAAAATTCTTGCATTAAATTCACCCAGTCTGCTGCCATTTCTCAGAATTTACAAGAGGAAGAGGAAATGACCTAATAATGCCATTTGCTTAATTCTGTATTTCCCTTGCTCATCTCCCTAGACATATTATTGGTTCTAATAACCGTTGGTTTACTCCTAAGGGCATATAACATATACACTGTATTGTGGAAGAGAATGTTGTTTGGGTTTTAATTAGAAACTCAATCCCTGTATATCCTTTGGGGAAGAGTGTAGGCATGATGAGCTCTACATCTTCTAGGTGAGAAAAAGCATCTCAGGAGGAGGAGAAATACAAGGGTATGGAGAAGGCTGATGGTATCTGAATGCAGTTTAAGTCTGTTGGATTTTTCTTGCTTCATTAAAATACAAAAAAGGTGCTGGTGGAAAGCCTAGTGTGTTTGTGCAGTTCTTGACTGAATCTTATTACAGAATTCTTTGCTGCTGGAAAATGGACATTTGTCAGATAACTTAGGAGAAATGTTTGACATATTTCAAAGCCATAGGAGTTCACTGTTGCGGCTAATTCAGGAAAACCTTTTGCTAGAGCAGATAGCAAGGCATCTAAACAAACAAATCAGCTACTGCAGATCCTCAGAGTTTAATGAGAAGGAACAGTTTCTTCTGGTGTCTATTACATTTTAAGACTATTACCTGAGCGTGCTCTAGGAAATACCAAGGTTATGTAACATCAGACACACAATTAAGCAATGCAATTCCATAAACACCATATTTGGGAAAGGCAGAGTGTTTGAATAGACCATGTAAAAACTGTTCCCAAATGGAAATAATTGATTTGAATTTTTTTCCTTTGCTTAAAGTGAGAGATTTTTTCCATGGTTTTGAGAGAACTAGATGTCAAAGTGTAATAAAACATCTATATCTTAGATTAAAACTGTTAACTCTGTCTCAGTAATACTTATATTATCCTTATATAATGTTATATTATTCCATAATTATCTCCCACACAATAGTACAATTGTCCTGTAAAGGTAGCTGCTAATGGAAAGTCAAAATTTTATAACTAATAAGAGAGAATTGTATTAAACATCTGAATTTCTCAGCACATGATAGCTGCTTTGTGAAAATGGTAGACAGAATACAACTACTGTGAAGCCTGTGCATTTGTTCTGATATACACAGGCACTCATATCCTGTCATAATTCAGGTCCATAGTCTTTCAACACACAGCTAAGAGTGAATACTACCCTTGCCATTAAGGTCTGCTGAGGTTAAGCTGTGTCCTGATGTCTTGCAGCAGATTTCATAGTTTACAGACTAAGCTACATCCACTCTTACCTAAACAGCCACTGTTCTCCCCATTGCTGAACTTGTATCTTAGTTCAGCCCTTGGAGATACTCCTCTCCTAGTCTGTTCCCCCAGTTTCCTGCAATACTATATTGTTCTTTCTAACTGGCCCGTCTTCCCTCTGCATTGTCAAATTAGATGTGTCTTCTGACAAATCAAAGATGTTTTCACTGTATGTACTAAGTAGATACAGGTGACCAACACAATTCACTTTCATTTTTAGAGACATGCTTTAGGATCCAAAGTTTAGAAAGATGCTCAACTATTGATGCAAAGATGATGAGAATAGATTAGGTAAGAGTCAGGCAGAGTGTAGACAGAAGCAGGTGGTGGTATTAGGCATTTAATGGTCTTCTCAGGTGCGATGACAAGAGGGGATCAAGCACCCTGAGCAATTACATGGCAAGATAATGGAGGCAAACTGAATATCCAGCAATGGCTTTTTATGTGCTTGCACCACAGAAGGCTTCAGCAGGAGACTGCCAATGCCACGGATACAAGATCTTTTGTGTCCTTGTGTCATATTACTTCTGTACCTCTGCTGTTCCTCAAGGAATGGAGAAATGGGAAGCAAGAACTGCAGTCAGTGAAAGAAGAATCAGAGGCACAGAGCTGTGAACAGGGAACTTAACCACGGGGTGATGAGTACCATCCACCATGTGGTATTGCGCTCATGGCTAACCACAGCAGAAAGGGAGTGATTTCTTGGTTTGCATTTAGCTAAATTATCATCATGCCCCTACTATACCATTTGCATTTTAGAGGGGGCAGAAGCATGGAGTTCCCACACCTCATTTTCATTCTCCTTTTCCTGGACCTGGATCTGACTCTTCAGTTCTGCCTCGTCTAGAAACAAAAAGCAGAAGGAGGAGACAGGCTGAAGCAATAATAATCAGATCAAGCAATAAATCAAGGAAGTTTGAACAAATGTAGCTAATTCTGTCATTCTGTGAAACAAAACAAATGTTGATTCAACTATAACTTATGCTGTGGAATCAAAGGCAGCTGAACAGAATATTTGTATGAGTAAAAGCAACATTTCTGCTCAGATGCAAATCTGTTGCAGTTTTTAAAATGCAGTTCTAACATCAGAGATGCTAGTAAAAAAGGGATGATTTTCAGGATTTTGCAAATTACAGCACAGTATATTAAGAGGAATGAGTGGCAATTTATCTGAATCTGCAAAGCTATAAACCAGAGCAGTTCAGCAGCTGCTGCAATGGCAGCTAAACTGTCTTTGTGATGAGAGCGAGAGCTTCCTGTAGAAAGGTAGAGTGGACAGTCGTGGGTAGAAACCATTGAAAAGCATCATTACCTATAAGTAAGCAAGCACTGCTAGAGCAGGCTGAATCGTGAGCCTGGCAATCTTTCTCCCTTTCATTTAGGGAATTACTGGTTATTTCTTGATTTTAAGTTCTTAAAATTTTGTTTCCTTCCCAGTGATGATTTAAATTCATCTGCACATTTGATTATTGTATTGTAGGAGTTTAATTAAGTATGTAAAATTAAAGAATAGCTTCAGCTCATCCTGCGGAATTTGCACCAGCAGGACACCTTAAATGCTCCCACAGCTGCTGCCTTGCCAGACCTGAGGACTCCAGTCTCAGGCACTGTCAAGCCAATGCTGTTCACCAGTGCTTTGTTTCAACGGAGAAATGTGGTGCATACAAGGGATAACAAAGGCAGCTCCTTTTTTGAAGAGCACAAAATAGATTAAGCTGGTCTCAGCTGAAAAGGATGCCATCAATTTAGACAGCAGCCTGCTCTTTCAGCTGAAAACATGGGAAATGGAGCAGCACAAATGGGTGAACTGCTTGATTCTTCAAAATATTTGTGAGATAATTAATCTCTACTGCTTTCTTTGTTTGATAGGGGACCAGCTTACTGCTCCATTACATGCAATGATATTGCTGAGGAAGGTAGGCATTTTCAAATGAGAGAAAAACAGAATTTATTTTCTCTTTAACACAACATTCTTTGTGTGTTGAGAAGTGAAAAAACAAACTCTTCCTGTGTTCACAGCTCCTCAGCGCTGCAGCACTGAAAGTTTAGGGGCAAAGGAACAGCTGTAAAACAGAAAGTGGGGGCAAAGAAAGTAGTGCCAGACTTTGAGGGAGAGTACTACTGTAAATATACCTAATGACTAGGCATAAAAAGAAGTACTTAATGATTCCTCATGCTGTTGTGAACTGAAAGCAGTTTGGTGAGAAACCTCAGGGCAATCATTCCCAAGCTTGCTGGAACAGCAAGACTAGGATAATAGTGCTGGCTCCCCTGCTAGAGCACTCCCTCTTAGCCAATGTATGGATTAGTTTTAAAAGGGCAGTTAAGGAAAATAGTACAACCTTGTGACTGAAGGAAGAATAAAACCATGATAAAAACCATGATAAAATTCAGCAAAGGAAGAATTGGAAAATTGAGACATTTATCAGGACAATTATCTTGCTGTGATGATAGCAGTATTTACCCTGAACATCCTGGTGAAAAGCAGCTTGGGCCAAGAGCCTTACCCCCATTTAAATACCAAATTTCAGCTGGAATCGAGAGGCTGAGACTCCTGCTGCATAGGAAAGCAAGACAGAGCTGAAATGCCTGTTCTTGAGTCCCTAATTTGAGTTCTTCTGTGTTTGAATTTTTCCTTACATGGCTAGATATCATTTCTGTCTTATTCACCAATGAGATGTTTAAATTCCTCCTTTACTGCTCAGTACTTCATTCAAACTCTCCAACTCTCAGAGCAAAAAGCATTGTTTCGGGGTCTTCAGCGAAGAGTTCTCTGCTCTTGGAGCAGAAATGCAGAGCCATAATACATTCCTTCTACAGAAAGCTTTTTAGCAATTATTTTGTAGTCAACTGAAATGTGTACTTGTTTATCAGCAAAGTACTTTCTAAACACTTTTGTTTGAGTGTCTAGATGTATTTTATTGTAGCTTCTAACCAGTTTCTAAACGCCATTAAACAATTAAAAAGGAAAATTTATTTGCCTCAGATTTCTTTTCCTGGTGATACCATGGTTCCCAGAATTGCCAAGCATTCCTCCCTTCCGTAGCTTTTACTTGACTTGTACGGCATTGTTGGCTGTGTTAAATCAGGAAGGCTTGACCCTTTTACCTTGTCAATGTTACCTGAGATTTCAGCTAGTTATGCTTTGACGGGATTGCACAGACAAGCTTTCCAGTTACTTTTTTCCCCTGCCCACCTTCATTTTTCACTCCATCTTACCTTGTACAGTGCTCCCAGGACTCTTTAATGTACTAAATAGTGGAGCAAGACTCTGGAGTTGGCAGCCCCTGCACACAAGCATCTTCCAGACATCCAGAGTGCTGAACTGTGATGAGCTGATTCAAATCAGTGTCTCTATAGCAAGCTTTTGAGGCAGCATCCTCAGCGCTGCAAATCTCTGCAGGTAGTCCCAGCACAGGCCAGACAGAGCAGACATTCCTGCCTCACGCGCTGGAATGCAGAGGCTGAAGCTGTACCCCAGAATCTGGTGACATCTTTTCATTTGTCCTGCGGCATCTGGGAACAGCAAGAATCATCCATAGATGGCATCTCCATGTGAAAGCCATTTAAAGTTGCACAATACTGAGTTTTGATCTTAGGAGATCTGGTAAGCTGAGCAGGGCGTCTTCTGAGCAGACACATCCTAAACGCATCATTGGCAAAGGACTGGAGCCTGCTATTTGTGACCTTTGCTTCCAAATGCACCAAAGCACAGCTTTCCTCTTACCCAGCAGATGGCCAGCTGCTCTTAGTAAGAAAATAAACCCAAGCAGAGGTTTTCTTGCTAGCATTTATAGCTCTGCAGATGAACACTTTAAAGGAACGGCAGCTTTGTTAAAACATAAAAACCTATGATAACTTTAAACTCAAGGCCTGATTTTTTTTGTGTTCTGTGGTGAATCTTCCTTTTCTTCAGACAGCTGTCCTCAAGGAGTAAAATACATGCCAGGCTTCTGGGAAATGTAGCATGTGCTCCAGGGATGTGTGGTGGTTTCTGCCAGGAGTGCAAAAGGCTGCAGTAACAGCCTTTGTTACTGTAGGTAGACTTTGTATCCCTGGAAAAGCTTAGAAATATTAATTACAGGAGAAAATATAAATAAATGCTTTACAGTTTTGTTCAGCAAAGCTCTGTCATTCCCTGATCTTGTTCCTTCTCTGGAAGTTCATTGCTGCTCCCACGGGCACCGCAGGTTTAGCTGGATCCAGCTGCAGCTGGTGGTCGCAGTTCTGCCTAGTGCCTGTGACTGTAGGTGGTCAGAGGGTGCACCTAGGTGGGAACAGGAAAGTCTAAACTTGAGTATTTTCTCCAGATCTCACATTCAGGATTAACACAGCAGCTCAGACAAGGTACTGAAACACACAGTTACTCACGCTGGGGGGAACAGGTTCAACTCACATGTTTAGAATTATCCCTAATGTTTTGTCTCCCATGATTAACTTTTAGACAATAGTTACCAGCACGGGCTGGCTGATGGACAGGCGTCTTCTAGGATCAGTAAAGGTCTTACAATGACAAGATGAATTAGCTAATAGGAAACAGCTAGGAATGGAAAAAACAACTTTCATCCATTGCTAGGACATTGTGCAGCCTAACGCATAATCGCAACTGTTGGCAGGTACTCAAGTGGTGGAGCATGAGGTACTTAAGAGGCTTAGACTGACCAGTCACAGGCTTTGTCAGCCCACATCTCCAGGAGCTGAGGACACAGCAGCCACCAGTTCTCCTCCCAGACCCCTCTTCTGCTTTTCCCATAACTGTTACAGGCAGAAGTATTCAATCACCAAGGAGGGATACATACACCCCAACAGACATTTCTGTGGTACACAAATTATAGGAAACAGTTTCCTGCTTTATTCGATATCATTTCTACCACAATTTGAGTTAGTGTTTTATTATTCTTGTATGTAGTCAGTTAGCTTTTTCTGTCTGAAAATCTCTTGCATGGCAACACAGCAAAGGATATAAATTAAGAAAGTATGACTATATAAATTAAGAAAGTATGGCTATGCTAGCAAGCTAAGAAAACTGGCAGAAATCTTACAGGCAGATAAAGTAAATAAAATAGCATTAACAATCATGGAAAAGCATTCCAGATTTTGAAACTGCAAAGTCCCTTTCAATAAGCTTTTTACATTACTTAAACACTGGCTGCAGTGGGTTGTGCAAACAGCTTTAATGTTCTCCTCTTACTGAATCAGGAGGTTATGCAACCAGACCACAATACATATATGTTGCCTTTGAAGACAAGTTTAAAAAGCATTGAAGTATTATAAAAGTATCATTACAGGAGCAAAAGCTCTTTCGAATCATTCTAACTGCTCATTTTACAAGGGAGAGAGGTTGTTTAAGGGCTGTGCCATGGTATAGTACACATGTAAGCCATAAAAAGCAGCCTTGGAGAGAGATGCACTGCCTGCACCAGTCAATAAAGGATGCCACAAATGTTTGCCTTTCAGATGTGACAAATAATACTGCAAGTTCACATGCAAAAGTATGCGCAAATGGGCTAAGAAATGCCAAACAGGTGGAATGAAAGGTTTCTGGCATGGAAAGTAACTAACCTGAGGGGAACTTCTGAGCAAGTAAGCGTGCTTCTCTTCCCTGCTAACGTTCTCTGCCGTCCTGCCCTTCTGCCTTGGCATCTGTTACCTTGATATGCTTTTACTATTTCCTGCCCTACCCCAGGTGTCTCTAAGCTTAGTGTCTGATTTTTGGCACCCTTTTCCCTATCTTGCTTATGCTTGTTTCATGCCAACAGCAGCTGCACAGAATAAATCCTGTGGGTTTTATAGAGCCATTGTTCAAAGTTGTGTTAAGAATGCTCCTACACATTTGCAATGGTAAACAACTATAGAAAGAAACTGGAATTAATAAAAGATGTCATAAAAAGGCAGACCTAAATGCTGTTATGCAGTGAAAGCAATTGGGAGTATGCATGTAGAAAAATACGTCTTTGATTAACACATTATGAAGGAATGATCCTTTTCAGGGGAAGAGCATGTAGTATGCATTTCATCCATCAAGATGCATCATTAGTATTGTGTTTTGAATACAGTTTTGAATAAATACTGTGGGGCAGGGATGTTAGATTTGCTTTCTTCATTTTCTAAGTAAATGTCAGTGTAGGTCCTCTTTCAACCAAGTGACTAGTACTCTGATGCATACTGGAACAGCCTCAGGGATGAGCTAGTTATGTTCAGACTACATTTGTTCCACAGGGAGAGAGATTGCAGCTAAAAGTACAAGTCTTCCCTCTTTTATATCATACTGCCTTTTTGCAGAAGAGAAACATTTGGCGTACAGCTCCTCTGGCAACTCCACACCAGCTCAGAGGCTGCCTTGCAACAGAGCTATTCCTTGGAGTCCGTGTTGGACCTTATTGCTGGAAAAAGAGAATGGCTTGGCTGTAGCCTTTTTTTCTTACTGGGTTACCCACAAATCACTAATTAAAAGGAATGGATCATTAAAACAGATGAATTCAGAGTTACCAGTGAGACTTGCTAGTTTAAGGGCTGGTTTACACTGTACAAGAAAAGAAAAGAAAAAGACAGTAAACATCTTCTGATAACCTCGTATATTCCACTCATACAGCTAGCTCCTGTTTTGTGGAAAGCGATATGTACAGTGTGCATCTTTATATTATCTAGAACTTCAGAACACAAGATGGCAGTGTACATACTGTAGTGATTTCAGGCTTTGAGCTGCTCCTGCTACTCAAAGAGAGCACGTAACATTTTATTCAGTCCTGTATAAATCTGGCCATGTACTTGCGGTACTAGAAATAAACCTAAAAGTATTTGTCAACTGCAGAAACAAATGCAATTTGTCAGTAATTGAGTATTGCATGAACAAGTGTTAGGTAAAGCTTAATTCAAGATTTTATCGTACATAACAGCACTCCGGAGACATTAAAAGTCTCTTATGGAACTCCTCAATTGCAATAACAAGAGGGTATCCCTTTATGAAGGAATGGAAGCTGGCTCAGTCGCAAGAGCTTTAGAGCAAAATTGGCTGCTGGGGAAAATCACATAAGAGAGCTGGCAGCCTGAAACATGTGAAAAGCTCAGGGCTCTCAGAGGAGCAGTGCAGACCACTGGAGTGGAACAGGCTGAACAGTGTCTAAAATTGAACAGGTGCCTTCCTATAAAAAAAAACAACAAAGCAGACAACTGTTTGGCATGATGATTCAGAGAAAAATAATTCCACTGAGAAGCATCAAATTAGAGGATAGGTCTCTGGCTGAGGACAAAATCGTTGCTACACAGAGTTGGACCTTTCTGTGTGTACCTTCAGAGTAGGTTCATTTAGAGGCTCTCTGAGTACCAGTGGGCTAAGAGAACCACAGTAACAATCTCTCTAAGCAAGTCTTTTTTCTTTCGTTCAGTTGAGTAGTGGAAATAGTAGGTATAGCTAAAAAGTTGTCTTGGCTACTTCCTGAGCTGAACCCCTAGATTTGGTTATGAAACATGGCCTTATTAAAAAGGCTTGATACATAGTAGAAAAAGCCCTAAGAAAAACAGTAATATTTCAGAGTATAAAATAATCCTGGAAAGCATTATCCCTGTTGGATGTGAAGACTGACAAAATTCTAGGCAGTCCTACTTTCTCCCTGGGGGGTGCTCAGGTGACACTGCCTCCCTGCACCTGAGCTTACAACAATAACGGGCACACCAGATGGACTCTGAAGATCAAAACTCTACACCAAGGTTCATCATTTCTGGATACAGCTCTTAATTTAACATAGTTATTTGGAATTAGATCATGAAGATATACGTATTTCTCTCAGAACAGGAGTATATGTCATCCTCCATTTTACTGAGCAATGGAGAACTTCACAGCAGTGTGAGTGGAGTGTTGCATACAGAGCTTGACCAATGTTTTTGATAGAAGGTGTAATTGGGAATGCTGGTCCCCAAGTCTACTTTTCTTGTAGTCATTATGTGTGTGTGAAAATACTGCCCTGTTCCCAATCCCTCAGTCACAGTAGCTCCAGTGAAAAGTTGTCATATTTTTCATGGTGGCCCACTCTTGTCATTACAATTGAATCAATTGCTGCTTGTTATTGCCTTATGTTCCCACGCATAAATCAATGGGTTTATTCCAAGACTCTTTTTTTCCCCTCTCTCTTTCTGAGTTTGCACAAGATTGAATTTGGCATTGATTCAAATCAAATAATTCAAATGTCATTTTTGCCTGGTATTTAAACTGAAGGTGGGTTTGTGACTAAAATACAGTGTCTTACCTAGCAGTTCCAGTCATTTGGTCTGTTTGTCACAGTGGATTACAGAAAGTGTGGCATGCACAGAATTATGCATGCACTTTTCAACCATCTAAAATGGAGGATAAATTGAACATGTCATGGTTCTAGGCCAGTAATTTATATTGAGTACAAGCTGGGAAGGGACCAGAGCCAAAACCTCAGATCTAAATTACCTTGAGTTCCAGGGAAATTTTAATCCAAATAAAAACTTCACAGCTGTTCATTGTATAATTAGATGAACCAACAAGAGACCATGTCTCAGCACTCCCAAACTAAAGAATTTACAGCAGAATGGAAACTTTGTGGCTAAGTCCACAAATGACCTTACACTGACTGTTACTACTGAAGTTCCCTGTATGCAGTTATTGCCTCTTGATTTCTGCATCTGTTGTAACTGCTACACGTCTCTGTTGGCTTTGCATAAATCCCTATTCTCTGCTCTGTAAATGAACTTTTTCAGCCCGATAACATTTCCTCACTGAGAGTGTGTTACGAGGATTCAGAAACTCAAGATTTTCTATATATGGACTATTGAAGTTGGTCTTATGGTCTTTTCATTACAAGTGCTTATTCAAGGTTTGATTTGCAAGGGTGCCTCTTCCCTTTGGCAACCTTGGGAATTGCCTGCCTTTCAAATTTCTGTGAATGCAGGTACCACCAGTAATGTTCAGGTTTGGGAGGAGAAAGGAAAACATTGCCTTTTCTTGCTGCTTCTGCATGGTCTTCCCTACAGACTGTCCCTTCTTGTGTTTCTAGTCAAAACCCTACTGCTTTTTTTTATGGCCCACAGTGAAGTTCCGTCTTTAGGTAAAACAGTTCTTACTTTTCTGTACGAATCATTTCTAATCACACCTTCCTTTACTAGGTATAACCAATTTCCCCATAATCAAAGATAATATACCCTCCTCCCACAATAAAACGTAGGTGTAATAGAACACCCTCTCCAGTATTTCACAAAAGCACGTCTTTGACCCAACCCAACACAAACCAAAATTCATTTTTTCCTCACAGACCAAATGAACTTCTCCCCAAAATAAACTCTTCTCTTGACATTAAATTGTAATGACACTTGCAAATTCGGGAAGTCACAGGGCAGCAGAATTATAGAAGTCCTAGAGACACTTTAACCTTTTCACTTACTGCAAGCATCATCCCTCTGCCTTTCGTCACCCCTAATGTTAAAGGCAAGGTCTAATCTATGAGAGGATGGAGCAGGAAATGTCAGCAGGCTGGAGATTACTATCTTCTGGTCCAGCATGGACACGTGGGTGCCAGCTGGGGCTTCAGAGCTGTTCAGGGCACAGAGTGGCTGGGGAAAAGGATATTAGGAGTTATTGCTACCACTGATACATTCCCCAAGTAAACACTGACTGTTATAATGAAAGTAAAAGGCAATATATTTAAAACTGGCAAAAGTAATATGCCTGTGAAACGTGCTGGCAAATGGTATCATCAAGGCCAAGTGCTTAGCAGGATTCAGTAAAAGGTTATACATACATATTCATACATTTGTGTGGGGAATTAGATTGGGCCTGATAAAAATTCATAATGGATATAAATGTTCACAGTTCAGGGCATAAATCAGCCACCAGCCCGAGGTTAGAGAATAACTTCCCCTATAGCCAGGTTGTTACGTAACTATCCATTATATCTGGAGTAGGAAAAGGAGGTTGAAGAATAGGGCAATTTCCTCAGAGGCATCTGGGAATTACTATTGGCAGACAGCTAATTTAGATTTGATCTGGTACGAAAGTTCTTATTACATCAAATAATGTAATTTAGAATTAAAGCATATGATTTATTCTGTATTTCTTACTCTCCATGTAATCAAGCTCATTCCTGAGGGTAACTGCAAGCCTTCTTCCCCTTATAAGCCAGCCAAAGTTAGTGAAATTCACTGTTTTCTCACAGAACCTCCTTAAAAACAGCTTCAAATTTTCCAAGGAAGTCAGGCAGAGTCCCAGGAATTCAGTTTGTTGAAAAGCTGGCCAACTAATACAGCCAGCTTCCTGTCTGTGTTAGCAGAGAAAAAGCTGCATGCGTGAACCGCAGTAAAAAGCTCATACTCTGAAAAGTTCTCATTCTTGCTAAGTTTGCATAATAACCTAAAAAGACTTGCAGAGCTCCTGAAAATCACAAATTACAGCACGTGGGCTGCTCCAGGCCTGCTTTTCCTGCTTGATATTGTCAGTTCATCTCAGCAAAACAGTGTTCAGCAGACTTGTTTTCATCAAGCAGCATACCTCCAGCTCTCTTGTTGCACTTGCAAACAGTCTGCGTGCTAACGAAACACATACTGCATGCTAATAAAAACAGCCTTTGTGACCTTGCCAACAGATAGCTTGATTGAGAATCAAATCCTTAATCAATTGATTAAGAAACACTAAGTGAATACCAGGAATCGTTTACGTTCACTGCAGGGGTCAAGGGATACTAGCTGCATTCTGGTAGTTTCTGGAATGCCTGTGATTGTAATTGTAATTACAGCATAAATTCTCATCACAATACATGTAGGAAACTGAAGAGCATTTATTAACTGAACATCTCACCAATTTTCTCAAGGAAAAAGAATGGCACTTAGCAACGGTCTCTCTTAAGCATAATTCCTGTTTCATGCGAGTAATACTAGAAGCATGGCACAGTGATCACACAACACCTGGAAGGTTCTAGGGCCACAATCAACAAACACTTCGGTGTTACTAAAAAAAAATCTTGCTGCACAAACTTGAATGACCTCGTTGGACAGGTTTATAAAAGGAATGGCTGAAGAGCAGGCAGCACATGTAATGTGGTAGATGTTTCTGAAAGGTTTCAAATCATATTCCATAAAAATCTTGAAAAATTAATCCAAGCTGGCTCTGCTGGGAAAGGTGTGAGTTTGTTGAGGAGCACCTGTCCCTTGACGGGGGGCAAGGAGGAGGCCCTGTCCCAGCCAGGGCTCCCTCAGCTCCGTACCAAGCCTCTAGGTGTTGGAGGCAGGAGGTTTTGCAGGCTGTAGTCACCAGGCTGTCCTCCTGTAACATGCAGGGTCCACAGAAGTAACATGACTGCTGTCGTGGTTTAAACCCAGTCAGGTAACTCGTTCGCTCACTTCCCCCCCTTTTCTTGCCCTCCCCCTGCTCTCGGAGGGACGGAGAGGAGAATCGAAAAGAATGCAACTCCCACGGGTTGAGATAAGAACAGTTTAGTAACTAAGGTATAACACAGATCACTACAGCTACCACCAATGATAATAATGATAAAGGAAATAACAAGGGAAGAGAATACATCATCTCACCACCAGCCGACCGATAACTCGCCCCCCCAGCCCGACCAAGCTCTGACCGATACCTCCTCCAGCCCTGCCGTCTCCCAGTCCTTCCGGCTAACTCCCAGTTACATCCTGGGCATGACGTGCTGTGGTATGGAATACCTCTTTGGTCAGTTTGGGTCAGGTGTCCTGTCTCTGCTTCCTCCTGGCTTCCCCTCCTCCCTGGCAGAGCATGAGGCTCACAAAGTCCTTGGCCAAACCAAAACATCGCTTGTTATCAGCTCTGTTCCCGAGCTGAAAGTCAAAACACTGCACTGCACCAGCTACCAAGAAGGGGAAAAATGACTGCTACTGCTGAACCCAGGACATTATCCACCCCTTATTCCATACCATTCACGTCATGCTCAGATCCCATATTTTCAATACACTCTTATCTTAGTGCATAGACCAGTCCCTATAAAGCTGCTGAGTCCATCTGGTCCATGATGTCAGGCTCCATCTCTTGTAATAGTCTTCCAGAGCAGGAGAGACTGTGTGCAGTGTTCACACTCGTGAATAACCTGGGCAATAGTGTCCATTGCTAAGTCCACCCCTTGATCATGAGTCCATCTCTGTGTTGCATCTCTGCTCTGATGGCCTGAAGTGCCATGGGCCCACCAGGCTTAAAATAATTCACTGTCCCCTTAAGCAGTTTCTGCAGCTTGTTGCTGGGGACTCCATACAGCTGCCTTCCATCTCCGACGCTTCCAAAGCACTGGAGGGGCCCAGTGGACTAGATACTTGCCCATACTGTCCCACACACCCTGCCACTCATGACTGTCCAGCCTTGGGGAAAACCTCTTGGTCCCCCTATATTGTTGTCTAACCCCAGACAAGACCCAAACCTGACTCTGCTTAACTTTTGAGATCAGACAAAATGGTTGTGGGTAGAACACAGTCTGTGTGTGTGCCAACATGCTGATCCCCATCACAATCAGCAGGCAGATCCCAAGGATGCCCAAAGGCCATTCAAAACCTTCAGAACTCTCAGTTGATGCTGCTGTACTTGTCACTGGGGCTGGTGCAGCTGCTGTACTTGTCACTGGGGCTGGTGCAGCTGCTGTACTTGCCGGCTCTCCCACCGCCACCTTCTCTTTTCCCGAGTCCAGATCTTCCTCCTCTGCCTTGCTGGGAAATGCTGCGTGGTCTCCTGCATCCTCCTGGGGCTCGGCGGGCGGCTTCCGGGAAACGCTCTCGGCCGTCGCGGGGCTGGGCTCGGCCGCGGGGCTCGGCTCCTCCGCCGCCTTCTCCCGCTGCTCGGCAGCTCCTTCCTTCCTCTCCTCGACCGCCCCGACCTCCTCCACCGGCAGCCATCCCCTCGCGGCCTCCGGCCCCGCTCCCGCCGCCGCTTGGTCCCCGGGGCCGCTCTCCCGGGCCGCTTCGGCTGCCGCCGGCTCCCGGGGCCGCTCCCCCTCGGCTCCCCGCAGCCTCACGAAGATGGAGAGTAGGGTGAGGGCCAGGACGGTGAAGAGCAGCCGGACGGCCAGGTACAAGTCCACGGCCACGTCCGTCCCGCCCTGCTGCTGGAGCCCGCCCGTATTACAAGCCATTGCCATAAAGCACAGTGAGACAAGAACCTTAGCCCAGGCCCCATACTTGATAAACACTATCACAGCAAATACCGGCTCTACGTAAGTTACAACATTCTGAAGCTGTGAGATCAACAAGAACAACTCTGAGAGCCAATAAATCAGCATTGTGACGAGCTACTATTAATCCAGTCAGATCTGTCGTTATCTCAACCCTTCGTGCCCCACGTTGGGCGCCAAAAAGAACTGTCGTGGTTTAAACCCAGTCAGGTAACTCGTTCGCTCACTTCCCCCCCTTTTCTTGCCCTCCCCCTGCTCTCGGAGGGACGGAGAGGAGAATCGAAAAGAATGCAACTCCCACGGGTTGAGATAAGAACAGTTTAGTAACTAAGGTATAACACAGATCACTACAGCTACCACCAATGATAATAATGATAAAGGAAATAACAAGGGAAGAGAATACATCATCTCACCACCAGCCGACCGATAACTCGCCCCCCCAGCCCGACCAAGCTCTGACCGATACCTCCTCCAGCCCTGCCGTCTCCCAGTCCTTCCGGCTAACTCCCAGTTACATCCTGGGCATGACGTGCTGTGGTATGGAATACCTCTTTGGTCAGTTTGGGTCAGGTGTCCTGTCTCTGCTTCCTCCTGGCTTCCCCTCCTCCCTGGCAGAGCATGAGGCTCACAAAGTCCTTGGCCAAACCAAAACATCGCTTGTTATCAGCTCTGTTCCCGAGCTGAAAGTCAAAACACTGCACTGCACCAGCTACCAAGAAGGGGAAAAATGACTGCTACTGCTGAACCCAGGACAACTGCCTTATGGCTTTCTCAACAAATAGGGCAACTCCCTTAAGCACAATTAACTCTTTAACAGTGGCAGCATTATTAGCCCTGCCACAGAATCTCAAGTGAGGGTTATGATCACATGGGGTGGGCCTTGTTGGGACCATTTGACACCAGTCTTCTGCCAGCTGCATATGCCGTTTTGTTGTGTCTCCTGCCTCCTTATGTCCTCCTGCTGCTACTACTGACACCCTGCCAGCAGTAACCAATTTCCCTGTGAAGCTGTCAGCCTGCTTACAGCCCTGCTGCCTCCTTCTGCCAGCTACCAAACTGCTGCTCCAGCTCCCTCATAGGCTTCTTCCTTTCAAACATGGATCACAGCATGCTGGAAAACTCAGTATATATTGGGAAGCTCAACACAGTGTCACAAAGACATACAGTACTTTGAACTGTAAGGAGGTGTTTGAGGTACGATAGATATGGGTGGGAGGACTGTTGGGGTTTTCTTCTGTTATTTTCATCAGGAAAATAAACTTCAGCATGCTGCTGACATGTGCAATTGTACCATCACAAAAAACTGCAAATACCAGTGAAGAGAGAATTATAGATGGGGTCTAAAGAAATGATGGACTCAAAAAGTAATAGCTTTGATCTAGAGTAAGGCAAATTTCTTGGTCTCATGGGTGACCTTCAACCACCCTGACA